ATGCATTTGGACCAGTGCTCGGGAAAGTATGTTATGATATATACTTGAGAAACAAACTCTTCCCGTTTGGCCCTGAGAATTAGTCCCCCCCCCTCCCCCAAGCCTGATTCTTGTGCCAATCAGCTGTTTAATCATCAAACTATTCAGGGTAGAATAATCAGAGTGGGACCTCAAAGGGTTTTGAAGCTTTGAATCTTGTTATTGGGTCATTCCATGAAATTCAACAAGAGTTAGATAACAATATTTCCTCATTGCTTGGGATTTTGTTCAAATAAAAAAGTAATAATAGTAATCACTCTTTCTCTGCATATATATATATATATATATATATATATATATATATATATATATATATATACATATGTATGATACATACGTGTGTGTGTGTTTGCTTGTGTGTAGACATACATAATAATATATCCTCTACAGTCTCGTTTCTTCCCCAGACAAGTGTCGCTGCGGAGTGAGCAACGGCGACCGCATCATCGGAGGGACGGAGGTGTCCCCACCCTTCAGATATCCCTGGCTCGTCGCCATCTACGATATTGAGAATCTGAAGGAGCCCTTCTGCGGCGGGAGCATCATCAACACCCGCTACGTCGTCACGGCCGCGCACTGTATGTTTACGCGGGAGAACGAACCCATCCCGCATCCAAGTTTCGGTGAAAGTCGCCGAGCACGACGTGGCTTCTGAGGACGACGACGTCGAAGGAGTCACGCGGATGCTGGCCCTGGAGAGCTACGTCTTCCATGAAGGCTACACAGAGAACTACTTCAACCTGGACATCGCCCTCCTGCGTCTGGAGGAGGCCTTGGACCTCACGTCGCACCCGGAGGTCCGACCCGTGTGCCTACCTTCGGACCCGACGAAGGTCTACGAAGGACAGACCGGGAAAGTCGTCGGCTGGGGAGACACGACCAATGGCGACAAGAAGTACCCCGACATCGTTCGGGAAGTCGACTTACCCATCGTCGAGTGTGGGCGCAAGGAGATAGCCGGTGTTTTGATCACACCTTTCATGCTGTGCGCAGGTTTTAAGAAAGGCGGGAAGGACAGTTGTTCTGGCGACTCGGGCCCCTCTGACGGTGGAAGAAGACGGGAGGTTCACCTTGGTGGGGATCGTCTCTTTCGGCGAGGAGTGCGCCAAACGGAATGTTCCAGGCGTCTACACGCATCACTGAGCTTTGGAATGGATTAGCAGCAATACTGCTGAAGTATCTTACTGTCAATAGATTTTAAGTGAGGGGTTTATTGTTATGAGTTGTAGAACTGTTATACACACATATATGTGTGTGAAGTCTGCCCTCCTTTGATATAAGCTGTATTATATGATTGACGTTGACCAAATAAATACATACTAAATCAGGCCCATTTTTGTTTCATGGAAAACGCTAATGACTGCGTATGAGGACGTGCAATTTGCCAAAATTAGTGTGAATGATGTCTGACAATCAGGCAGACCTTAGAAGGAGCCTGGTTGAGAACAATGGATTGCTGTCAGACCTAAAAAAGAGTAGAGTACAAGAACTATTATTTCAGACTTCAGAAGGAAATGGATAGGCTCATGGAAGTTTTTTTTTTTCACACATATCCTATCATCAAAACCACTCGTATTTTCAAAAGGATGGGTAAGCCAACACGGGATCTCACAAGTGGACCGAGACTCTTTAAAGACTTCGTATCCCAAATGGATGAATGGCCTTCCCAACTGTTGATAACGCAACTGAGAGGGCAGCTACAAACTGAGTATGTGTTGACATTGGACAACCATTATGTCATCTCTATTATCTAAATAAAGATGTCTGGGATCTTAGTGCAGAAATCAATGAGTTTATCTCTTTAAAACTACTAAAATCCAGAACCTTCCATGGGGCTTCGTTCCCTGTTCCCTCATCGGGTTTACTCCTGGACCCCAGCAGGACCCCGGCTATGACTCAAGGGTCCGAAAGGCTTACAAAGAAATTTACAAAATGGATAATTTCATGAAAGGACATCACTATGTATTTCTTTACTCTAAAAATGCATAATTCTTTTACATGAATTACTACATGGACTTCAAGCGACAAATAACATCGTAAAAAGAATTTGCATTCTATCTTATCCAAGATTTTTTTTAACACAAATCCCAAATATGTATTACAAATGCATCTGTTTTCACTGTTGGTAGTAAGATGCATCAGCTGATCCGCTGATCAATGACTCACGTACACACTTGGCATAAGAACATTTTCTGGCCAAAGGAATTATTCCTCAACTCTTCAAAAGTTCAGTTCCTCTTCAATATCTAAAAATCTCGAGTATTTCAACTAATCTTCAAAGTTTCAGCTTCTCTTAAAAATCTCAACTCTTCAAAAGTTCAGTTCTTTATCAAAATCTTAACATCCTGAATATTTCAGTTAATCTTCAAATTCAAAGCTTCAAAATTTTAGCTTCTCTTCAAAAGTTCAGTTCTCTTCAAACTTTCAGCTCTTCAAAATCTATAACTCTAGATATTTCAACTAATCTTCAAATTACAAACTCTTCAACATTTCAACTTCTCATCAAAATCTTAACTCTTCAAAAGTTCAGTTCCTCTTCAAAATCTAAAACTCTTGAACATTTCAACTCATCTCCAAATTCAAGACCACAATTTCAGCTTTTCAAAATCTTAACACTTCAAACGTTCAGTTACTCAATATTTCAACTCTTGTATACGTGTGTCTGTATAGAATCGTGGTAGGTTGTGTACATACGTATACATACATCAACTGAGAAACATCATATTGGGAATGTATACAATTTTTGTTTTACCGTCGATATAACATATGTTTGTCGTTAATTCATACTTCCGTAACAAGAGGAAAAAAATGGAAAAATATAAAGAATATATATATATCCAGATGAAAATGTAGATAATCGTTTTATTAGTTCATTGACCTGCAAGGCTATTTTTGTATTTTTTCATATATATATTTATTTTCTGTGTGTGTGTGTGTGTGGAGGGAGATACCGTGAGACAGACATTAAAAATGGGTAGACAGGGAGATACCGAGAATAAGAGAGACGGGGAGAGAGCTAGAATGAGACAAAGAAAAAAGATAGGGAGAGCGAGAGAAAGTCAGAGAGATAGAGGGAAAGAGAGGATAAAGGGAGTGGGAGAAACTTTAAAGAAAGAGGAAGACAGAAAGTTTAAGAAAGGGAGAAGAAATGAAAAAAAATACTTTTTTTTTGGGGGGGGCAAAAGACAGGCAGACAGAAAGAGATTAGGAGACAAGGGGATACCAAGAATGAGAAAGAGAGAGACAGTGAGAAAGAGAAAGGCAGAGACAGGGAGAGAGCGAGGAAGAGAGGGGGAGAGCGAAAGGATAAAGAGAAGAGAAGAAACCGAAAGAAAAGGGAAGGGCAGTAAAAGAGACAAAGAGAGAGAAAGATGGGGGAGGAGAAACAGAAAGAAGAAAGTGGGAAAATGAGTGAGAGAAATTTGGCGGAAGGAAAGAAAATCTAGGAAAAGCAAATTTATCTTCGTGATCAGGATTGCTTCCTTTTTTTCTCCAAATTTCTAAACTAGATTTTCAGAGGAAAAAAAAACGTATTCAAAGAAATTTTAGAATGGAATGTTTTAGTTCTTATATTTAGTAAAGGCCACATCAATACATGTATCCAGTACTCTTCTTTCTAGGCACTTCCCCACACACACAAAAAAGGAATAAAATATAAGTATATTAAATAAATGTCAAGGAAAATCATTATGGACCACTCTGATTCGCATAAGCTGACATTTCACAATTCACTTGTTTACTGTTTCAAAACCCTGCGATTTTTTATTTTTTAAATTTACTAATATTTGCTACTTTCAACGCCTTTTTCTTATTTATTTCTCAGGAGAAGAAAGTACGAATTCACTGCAAAACTGTCCCAATAAACCCTATTATCATAACGATATCATTACAAACTTGAAGTCAACTGAGGCACGCTAAGTTTTTAAGTATTGTCAGCTGTGAAGGTCTCACTTAAAATCTATTGACAGTAAGATACTTCAGCAGTTTTGCTGCTAATCCATTCCAAAAGCTCAGTGATGCGCGTGTAGACGCCTGGAACTTTCCGTTTGGCGCACCATCGCCGAAAGAGACGATCCCCACCAAGGTGAACCTCCCGTCTTCTTCCACCGTCAGAGGGCCTCCCGAGTCGCCAGAACAACTGTCCTTCCCGCTTTCTTAAAACCTGCGCACAGCATGAAAGGTGTGATCAAGTACCGGCTATCTTCTTGCGCCCACTCGACGATGGGTAAGTCGACTTCCCGAACGATGTTGGGGAACTTCTCGTCGCCATTGGTCGTGTCTCCCCAGCCGACGACTTTCCCGGTCTGTCCTTCGTAGACCTTCGTCGGGTCCGAAGGTAGCACACGGGTCGGACCTCCGGGCGACGTGAGGTCCAGGCCTCCTCCAGACGCAGGAGGGCGATGTCCAGGTTGAAGTTCTCTTGTAGTCTTCATGGACGACGTAGCTCTCCAGGGCCAGCATCCGCGTGACTCCTTCGACGTCGTCGTCCTCAGAAGCCACGTCGTGCTCGGCGACTTTCACCCGAATCTTGGATGCGGGGATGGGTTCGTTCTCCCGCGTAAACATACAGTGCGCGGCTGTGACGACGTAGCGGGTGTTGATGATGCTCCCGCCGCAGAAGGGCCTCTCTAAATTCAGAGTCTCGTAGATGCCGACGAGCCAGGGATATCTGAAGGGTGGGGACACCTCCGTCCCTCCGATGATGCGGTCGCCGTTGCTCACTCCGCAGCGACACTTGACTGAGGAAGAAACGAGACTGTAGAGGATATATTATGTATGTCTACACACAAGCAAACACACACACACGTATGTATGTATATCATACATATAAGTATATATATATACATACACACATATATGCAGAGAGTGATTACTATTATTACTTTTTTATTTGAACAAAATCCCAAGTAATGAGGTAATATTGTTCTAACTCTTCTTCAATTCATATGGAATAACCCAATAACAAGATTCAAAGCTTCAAAACCCTTTGAGGTCCCACTCTGATTATTCTACCCTGAATAGTTTGATGATTAAACAGCTGATTGGCACAAGAATCAGGCTAGGCAAAATACTGTGAAGGTTGAGAAGAGAAAAAAAAATGTTAGTTTCGCAAATGATTGTGTGAAATAACTGTAACACTATATCTTTTCACTTGTTTCTAGCAATCTTTCAGGAAATGTTTTTGTTTCAGAAATGAATGAGAATTACGAAAGTCAAAGAGGGAAAGTTTGAAGTCTTGAAAAATGAAAGGTCATTTTTCCTTTTTATTCTGTCGAGCCAGTTCGTTTCTCTTTTGGATTAATTATTAATCAGTCTTAAAAATGCCGCAGTGATTTGTTTTTTCATATATATCCTCTACCTTTCTCTATGGCTCCCCTTCCTTCTCTAGAAGGCACAGAGAAGGAGAGGGGGTAGAGAGAGAGACAGACAGACAGAGAGGGAATGGAGAAAAAGACAAAGACACAGACTAGGGGTTGGGGTGGGGAGGGGGGGGCTAGGGTGTCGACCTGTAGCACAGAACGAAGGCTTGCGGTCCTTCAACCCAGGGTGGCTCACGACTACGGACACTGAATACTTAAGTGTGATAAATAGGTCGTGCGTGTGCGTGTGCGTGTGCGTGTGCGTGTGCAGGGAAACACATGTGGAAAAGCACGCACACACAAACAAACAAACACACGCGCATAACACTGCTGTGTAAGTCGAGCTTTTGCTTTAGTAGTTCTGTCTTTCCTTTCTGATTTTCACTGGTTCCCATTTTCTGGTAGTTATCGTTTTCTTAATGTATATACATATATGCATTTATATATACACACATACATACATACATATATATATATATATATATATATATATATATATATATATATATATATATACATACATATATATACATATATATATATATATATATATATATATATATATATATATATATATATATATATATATATATATATATATATATATAGAGAGAGAGAGAGAGAGAGAGAGAGAGAGAGAGAGAGAGAGAGAGACATATATATATCTATAGATAGATAGAGAGAAAGCGAGAGAGATAGAGAGAGAAAGAGAGATATATAGAGAGAGATTTCACAAGTAACATGAATTCACTAGAATACGAAAACGAGGTTTATTCTAAGTGACGTATGTTCTCCCCAAAGATCACCGAGCCTATTCGAGCATTCATCGGGCTTGGAACTTCACATGCACATGCCCTCGTCTGCCTTAGGGACCTTATTATCATTTTTATTATTATTATCCTCATATATTACCTTTCTTGCTCTGGCAGTACTTTTTAGAATGGCATTTAAGGGGAAGTATATAAGTTTCACTAAAAACAGCACCTAATGTATAGACTATTCGCGGACCTTAAAGTTAAGATTGGCTGACCTTTCTTTAGAATGTGACAGGCGCAGTTTATATATATATATATATATATATATATATATATATATATATATATATATATATATATATATATATATATATATATATATATATATATATATATATATATATATATACATGCATATTCTTGTTCTGACACTACTTTTAAGAATATTTAATGGGAAGTATATAAGTTCCATTAAAAACAGCATCTAAAATATAGCCTAGAAGGACTATATTCGCGGACCGTGAAGAGCAAATTGGCTGACCTTTCTTTGGAATGCAACAAGCGCATCTTTTACCAAGACACCCGTTTTTTATCACGGTGCCGTCTGCGCATGAATCCTTTCCAGATTTCTTGAAGCAGAATCCTCCCTGGAGATGGCAGCTTGGAGTGATGGCGCAAAGATTGTCTGGAAGATAAATAAATGAATAAATGATAGATGGCAACTTGGAGTGATGGCGCAAGAAGGATTGTCTGTAAGATAAATAAATGAATAAATGATAGATGGCAACTTGGAGTGATGGCGCAAGAAGGATTGTCTGTAAGATAAATGAATGAATAAATGATAGATGGCAACTTGGAGTGATGTTGTCCAACTTGGAGTGATGGCGCAAGAAGGATTGTCTGTAAGATAAATAAAGGAATAAATGATAGATGGCAACTTGGAGTGATGGCGCAAGAAGGATTGTCTGTAAGATAAATAAATGAATAAATGATAGATGGCAACTTGGAGTGATGGCGCAAGAAGAATTATCTATAAGATAAATAAATGAATAAATGATAAATTAACAAATTCCAAAGGAGAGGTAACTGGGTAGGTAGAATGACCAGTCAGTAGGTTGATAGACAGCAAAGATACAAACAAGAAGAGTGTTTGTATATGTATATGCAAAATATACGAAGGAATAAATGAATAAATGGCGATGGAAAGAACTAGGTAGTTAGATAAACAGAAAAAATACATGCAAAGAAGGTATATGTGCAGATGTGTATATAGTTATATATAGATATAAACACCCAAACATATATGTAAGCATATGACATATGAGTAAACATATACATTGTGTATGTGTATGTGTGTATATGTTTGTGTGTGTGCTTGTGTATGTAATATGTATATATGTATATACATAGGTATGTATGTATACATATACATACACATATATATACATACACACACACACTTATATGTATGTGTATATGTGAGAGAGGAGGAGAGGGAAAAAGAAAGATATCAAAAGTTATGTGTATGCATTTTTTTCACACAGATCTGCGAACTACTTACTCCCCAGACAGCATTTGCAACTTGCACCCTTGCAGAGGTCATCACTGGATATTGTGGAGCAAGTTTCATCCCGCTGTATGCATCTGCCTCCTTGCTTGGTGCAGCTTCTTCTCTGTCGACACAATCTCTTTATGGGCGAATGGTCTGCGAAGAAAATGTACAATATACCATCATGTATTATATAAAACGCTTATATATGCACGTACATTTGGAACACACACAGGGCAAGCACGCAAACACACACACGCATAAACACACAATCAAATATAGATAAATACACACAGTCACACATACATATACATACACTTATCTCTCTCTTTCTTTTTCCATCTCTCTCTCTCCTTTTTACTCTTTCTCTCTCCTCCCCCCCCCCTCTTTCTCTCTCTCCTTTCCTTCTCCCTCTCTTTCTCGTATTCTCTCGTCCCTCCCCTCCGTCCCTCGCCCTTTCTCCTCTCACTCGCTCTCTCCCCTTCTCTTTCTTGCTCCACCACCCCCCTCTCTCTTTCCCTTCCTCCCTCCCTCCCTCGCTCTCTCCTTCTCTTTCTCGCTTACCCCCCCCCCCTCTCTCTCTCTCTTTCTCTCCTTCCCTCTGTCAGCAATAAGCAGAACCGGATGGGTTGGACTTCGCACTTTGCAGCTGCCTTCCTTCCCAGCTTCCTCCTCGAGCAAGTCCGGCGAACCCCCCCCCCCCCCTGTCACGGCCGGAAGTCCAGCACCCCACAAATCAGAAGCAGGCACCCGGCAGCAGAAGAGCAGTCGCTGGATACAAGTCGTCTCGTCAGGCGTGGGAAGGAGAGAGCACCAGAAGCAGACCAAGACCGAGCAGGAGTCACAGGGCAGGAGGCCACCCTCCACCCTCACTCGGGGCGCGAGGTCACTCTCGGGGCCGCACCTTTCCGAATAAACCAGC